TCGAATTGAAACCGATGGACCCCCGAACACCAAGATATATATTATATATTTAAGAGACCAATATTTAATTCTTGATTTTACAATCGATAAAGATTATAGTATTACAAAGTATTAAAATCGAACAAATATTAAAATAAAATAAAATAAACTCACTTCGCGCATGCGTGCAGATATCATCTAGTATATACATACTTCTAAGACAAGGTTCATGGTATGATATATTCATGTACCAGATGTAAGACCAAAATAGTTAAATTCAAGTAGGGTTTTAGTATATCTTTCTTAATCATGCGTCTATTCAGATTTACATTTTGGCATAAGACTAATTATTTTTAAAATGGGTCTCCTTGGTTGCAGATGCTCCAATCGCGCCAGATGAACTGCAGCGTGGCGCCGTGGCCTGGATAATAAAGCGCAAGGGAAGAGATGAATCCCACATGTTACAATGCCGGTTCGGTGAATCTAACGCCAGAAGCAAAAAAAAAATTATAGGCCTGTAGTAAATGTGTTAGCAAACATTTTAAAGATTTGTGGGTGCTTAATTTCGAACTCATCACCTCTGTTTCCCCTTTCCAACACAAATACCACTATGCTACCTATGAAAACTGTTCAATTAAGGACCGATAAAATACATATAATATTTAAGGACCAAGCTTCCAATGCTTGGTATCAGGGCCGCTACTAGTTTGCATGTGGAGATGGGAAGCATACCACTCCACTCGTTTGTGTATTGAATTGTCACAGATTGTGCGCGTAAGAACTCCATATTTTCTCCGGGTAGGGGCACGGGAAGAATAAATGATATCTTGTTTCCATTTGAGCAATGCAGAGTAAGCTAAAACGTAAAGTTCATACTTTCAGAAAAAGAAAATCAGCTTTAACTTATGTTAGAAGTTGAATTCCAATATTTTTTTTGTTTTTGAACATAAGTCGACTTCATATATTTTAAACTCAAAATTAAAGTTAAGCCCATTCCGTTTTTTTTTTTTTGGGACATCAAACGGCTGATCTATTACTCAAGCAACTTGAGGTGGTCTGGGTAACCAGACCGGAACAGAACAACCAACGTACACAAGCTTGCGATAAAAAGGCCTAGCTAACTTAGCTAGAGAATCAGAAACGCCGTTCTGAAGTCTAGGAACAAAAGAGATCTTGAAGTCTGGAAAGCAGATCTTCAGTGTCATCAATTTTTCCAATTCTGTTGAGAAGCTATGCCATGCATGAGGATTCCTGAGCATTTCGATCATCTCCTTGCAATCAGTCCCAAAACTATGATATTTCGATTCAACTCGATCAAATTACGCACCCCCAGTAGCTGACTATTTCCAGAAGTATCATTCAAAACCCACCCATATCCACTGAAGGATTCCGTTGAAGTCCAAGATCCATCCACCATGCAAATGTTCCCCAAGCTTAAGGCCTAGTCTTCACCTATTCCATCCCCAAGAGAAGGCGGTATATCCTGCTCATTTGCTTGGAACCATGCTTGGCATTCACTCTCTGCGTAACGCGCCACTTCTAATGGGTCCCTATCAATGCCTCGGAATAACTTATCATTCCTAGCCTTCCAAATGTACCAGATTAGCCAAGGATAAGGATCCCTGTCCAATTCCGGTTCCATTATTGCATTCTTTCTCCAGAATAGATAATCCATATTCGCGTACGTGCTTTGAACTGAAAAACAGAGTTGGATTAGTAGGCGTAGATGATAATGCCCAAACCTGTAAAGTAGGTGGGCACTCGAATATTGCATGTGTGATCGTCTCGAATATTTTGGGGAGCCCTGACCTTCCAAGCATGTGCTTGGAGTTTTGTGATACTAAGCTCACATACTTCAGTTTCATCTTCCTTCCTCAAAATATTTCGTGCAACCCAGTATCGAGATTTAACTGTATACTATCCAGTCCTCGTATAGCTCCAGCAGTACGTATCATGTCGGTGTGTGGAACTAATAGCCATACTCTTAATGAGTGGTATGTCATCCGCATCAATATAATCTTGAAGTCGTCTATCATCCCAAATCTTCGTTGTTTGATTAATCTAATCGCTCCACGCATACTCGGGTGCAGAACCGGTGCCAAAGGGATTGCCGGTCTCGCAGGTATCGTAGGAATCCAAGGATCTTCCCAAGATTTAACCTCATATCCCGAATGGATTTTTTGTCTAATTCCTAATAGTAGAAATTCTCTTCCGGTTGATATGCTTGTCCACATATATGAGGGACTGCTAGTACTGATTTGACGCAAAGGCGTACTCAATCTGTAATACCGACCTCTCAAGATGCGAGCTACCAGAGAATCCGGCTTTTGTACCAGTCGCCATAATTGTTTTGCTAGTAATGCTAGGTTAAACTCATGAATCATCCTAAAACCAATTCTGCCTTCATCTCTGGGTAAGCATAATTTGTCCCATGTTGACAAGTGAATACCCCTTTTTGGCGGCTTTGAGCTCCACCAGAATTTTGCAATGGCACTAGCTAAATTCTCACAAATCTCCAATGGGAGAAGGAAGCAAGACATTACATACGTCGGAAGGGCAAGCAGGATTAATTTTATCATAACTTCTTTCCCGCCTTTAGAAAGCCATCTCCCAGTCCATCCATTCACTCTATTTCTCAGCTTGTCCTTAAGGAAAGCAAAGAGCTTACATTTGGACCCACTGATATCCTCTGGTATACCCAAATATGACCCCATTCCTCCTTCATTTTGGATCCCAAGTGTGTCTTTGATCTCTTGTCTCACATCATGTCCGATTCTTTTACCAAAGAGTAAAGAAGACTTATCGAAATTAATGCATTGTCCTGAGGCTTGTCCATACATCGTGACCACTTTCATTACTTCTTCCCATTCACGGGGATCTGCCTTACAGAAAAACAGACTATCATCAGCAAAGAGAAGGTGAGATACCGAGGGACACGCACGCGTAATGCACATCCCCGTTATCTTCCCTTGGTTCTCTGCGTGATTTAGAAGGCTAACGAGTGCTTCCGTGCAGAGAATAAAAATGAAAGGGGACAGAGAATCTCCTTGTCGTAGACCTCTCTCCGGGAGAATATTCCCTCTTGGCTGTCCATTCATAAGGACCTTATATTTTACTGAAGTTACACATCTCATTATCATAGTTATCCAAACTTCAGAAAAGCCCATCTTTCTCATGGTGGCCTCAATGAAGGACCATTCCATTCTATCATAGGCCTTGTTCATATTTTTTTTGATAGCCATCTTCTTATTTCGACCACTCATTTTTGTTCTTAGAGCATGGAACAACTCCGGAGCTATCATAATGTTATCAGATATTTGTCTCCCAACAACAAAGGCTGACTGGGTCTCTGAGATCCTATCTGGAAGAAACTTCTTTAATCTCTGGCATAAGACCTTAGAGATAATCTGTAGCTAACATTGCATAAGCTAATAGAGCGTAACTGACTCATCTGATTTGGCTTCTCCACTTTTGGAATGAGACATATGTTGGTGTCATTTAGGCCAGATGGCATCGTTCCCTCGAAAAGGAATTGATTAACCATAAGAGTAAGATCATCCTTTACAATATCCCAGAATTTCTGGTAGAACAGCGCCATCATTCCATCCGGTCCCAGAGCTTTCTTTGGGTGCATCGGAAAAAGAGCCAGTTTAACCTCCCACTCAGTGACCGGGGCTGTCAAAGTCGCATTATCTGTTGAAGTAATTGTGGTAGATACTTCAGAGAGTGCTTCCTCTATTGCCTCGGGATTTGATGATTGAAAGATGTGTCTAAAGTAATTTGTAGCAATGGCTACCAAACCTTCCTCATCCTCCACAACATTTCCATCTTCATCCAGTAATTGGGTAATCCTATTCCTTGCTCTCCTTTGCTTCGTAAGGGCATGAAAAAAATTAGTATTCCTATCCCCCTCTCTCAAACAGAAAACCCGACACTTCTGTTTCAAGAACATCTCCTCCGCCTTAAGAGCGTCAGATACTTCCTTAATAGCTGCCGCAATCTCCTCAGTAGTGGCATCACCATTTGAGGATAAGCGATCGACCTTTTCCTTTAGCTCCTCCACTGTTTTCTCTGAATTCAGATTATGCTACCTTTTCCATTCACTTAATGCTCGCCTGGAGCTTGCAATGTGCTCCATTATACTTGCGTCTGGTGAGAGGTCCGGTGACTTCCATCTCTCAAGTATAATTTTCCTGAGCTCCTCGTTATCTAACCATCTCTTATCAAATTTGAAATTCCTTGTTCTCCTAGATTTCTTTTTCAGAATATCAGCTAGTATCGGAAGATGATCCGATCCCCAGAGTCTCATATACTTCACTTTGGAATGAGGGAATTTTTCATGCTAGTCTTCATTCCCAACAGCCCTATCAAGTCGGTATCTAACTGTCGTCCTCCCTGCTCTATTTCCAACCCAAGATAGCATGTTCCCTGTATAAGGAAACTAGCATACCACAATCACTTAACATCTGTTTAAAGGGCAGAAGTGAGCTATCAGGGCGTTGTCTGCCTCCTTCCTTCTCTGCATAAAATGTAATTTCATTAAAATCTCCTATCATGAACCAAAGTCCATTTCTTGTTGTTGAGAAGCGCGTAAGACACTCTCATACTAAATCTCTTCTCTCTAGTACAGGGTCCCCATAAACAAATGTCATGTAGACTTTTATTCCATCAATGACTGCCTCAATGTCAATCATTCAGTTATTTGAAAAAATACATTAACCTGAAATTCATCCATTAAAAATAAAGCTAAACCTCCGCTGTGGCCAAGTGGCTCAACGGTAAACAAGCGATCAAATCCTAATTCGGCATGAATGTCTTGCAACAGCAGCCTCCTATTCTTCGTCTCAGAAAGAAACACAAGTCCTGGGCGATGCTTCTGACACATCTCCGTAAGGCATCGAATTATGAGGTCGTTTCCAATCCCTTGACAGTTCCAACTGATTGTCTTCATGGATAAGGACTAGATGGGTCTTTAGATCCCACCAAACCAACATCCTTTCCTGAAAATCCTGTTGTATTACTTGATCTTATGTGTATGTGCCTTGCCTTCTCTTTTTCCCTTGTTTGTGCCATAGAAGGCACAATTGTTGATCTCAGTTTAGGAGAACCTCTACGAAGGAACTCCGATTTTTTCGTTTGAATACCCAACGTGGTATTATTCTTGGATCTACTTCCTCTCCTTGATACGGTTGAATCATGTTTGCGCCTAGTACCCACAGAAGATGAGGAAAGGGCAGCATCTTCCAACTCCTGAAGCTCGTCATCAAATAAGTCATCTTCCTGAACTTCCATATTGCTTAAGGCATCGATTACCGGTTCGTGCCGATCCACCATTCGATCCTCTTGGGGGGGAGTAAGTGAGTGATTTTGCAGCACTCCTGCTTCGGATGGTGACATTTTCATCCATCAGTGGGCGTCTCAAAGCAGGAGATACAATTGTGCTAGCCAATTTCTTTCGCTCCTCCGTGCCTAAGTCTCCATCCCCAATATTTCTCTGGTGACCATGATCACTCTCCGACACTGTCTCGCCTGTTTGCTTTGTTTGTTCATAAGGAACAACTGCAAGTGCAATCACAGCCTCATTTGCACCGAGAACATGAGACCCACTCCTTTTATCAATGTCGTTGAAAACATGACTCATGTCTTTCGCTTTCTTGCGCCATGTCTTGTTGCCATAGCGATCATATGGTTTCACATCTCTTCGGTATCCACTAGCATTCTTTGACCGATATCTTTTGTTCAGGCTATCTCTCCCTCTCATGATCCTATCGGAATGCTTGGTCCCGTGATCTTCCTCCTCACTGTGTCTTGACTGATATCATTCATGAGCCTTAGAGGAATCCTCATATCTCGGTCTTGGATCATGAAGTTGAGACTGCAGGTCATTATGTCTGTTAGTATGAGATGACCCATATTGCGCAATGTCTCTTCGATCCCATGCCTTTTCCCTTTCGTTACTTCTCTCAAGCGACTTATGATCACGTGAAGGAGAAGGAAATTGAACCCAATTAAAGACACCACCCTGCTCCACTTGAGACTCTCGATTTGGTATTGTATTAGGACAATACCCTTTCTCATGGGTCATCATTCCACAAATTGTGCAGTGTTTAAAGAGGAGATCGTATTCGATTTCTATCGTCACCTTATCCCCTTCCGGACTTTGTACCCTCCTCTTAAACTTCAGCGGCTTACGTAAATCAATGTGTATGAGTAAACGGCCTCCCGAGAGATCAACAGTATCCACAGCCCTGAGTCGTCCTCCTATATTCCGCAGGTTCTTATCAGTCCAAAGGTGCAAGGGCATGCCAATGAAAGAAACCCAAAAGGGGATGATCCATGCATAATCGTCGTGTACAATGGGTTCCCATTTTACCAATACGAACATACAAAAGTTGTAATGGAAAGGTCATTTCCTTATCACAGCATTAAGATCCTCCTCCTCAGTGAAATTAATTAGGAACTTTCCATTGCCTAAGTCACTTGCAGTAACCTTGTCTTGAACTCCCCATTGAATTGGCATGGTTTGGAGAAGTTTCTCTACATTTTGCTTCTTCTTAGGGTTTAGAATCTTACCAATAAGAGACAAGTTGAAATCCTTGATTAAAAACGTATCGTCTTGTTCAGTGAGTTTTATGGACTCATCATCATCTTCAAACAAAATAGATTTGCCTTTAACATCAGCCATATGAGCCTACATAGGTCTCTTCCTGGAACCCATACAATGGTATTGAATATTTAGTAGTTTGATACACCGCTGTTTGTGAACGAGCAATCGGACAATATCAGTGATAGTCCTTTGAAGCGTAGAACAATGGCTCCTAATCTCATATCAAAAACTGCTGATCCATTGGAACAAAGGCTCCAAAGTCAAGGGTAGATCGTAGCTTTTAGATCGAGCTTCACGAGCAGCTGAGACGGGAAGGATGAGATCGAAATCGAAACAGAGTCTCAAGGATCTCAAAGGAGATCGGGAAAGAAGAGTTCTATAGCGGCCGGACAGAGATCGGATGACTTGTAGTGTAAGGAAGCGACAAGGATAGTTCCTTACAACACAGAAGTTGCGTCGAAGAAAGAGAAGCCGAAGCAGAGGTTTCCCTTTCCGATCAATCACCAAAGAGTGATGATCTGATGCAGATGGAGCCATAGCGAAGCTTGAAGTCCTTGTCGCCATGGTTGTCGCCATCATAGATCTAGGGCTTCTCCCGGTGGTTGTACTAATAACGGGTGAATTAGATTAAAATCCAGGCTGGAGGGCCTTTTAATATTTATCAAATTATTTTATATTATTTTGTTAAGCCCATTCCGTTTAAAAACCGTGTATCTTCAAACTGTATTATATTTCGTACAAATATGGAAATAAAATCCTCTTTAATCTCAAGTCAAACTGTATTAACCTTTTAAAGAAAACACTTTGATAAATAAACAAGCTAGAACTTAGCTTAATAATCAATCATAGATTCAAGCAACTTCAATCTACACTAAAAACGTAAAGAATGCAAGAAAAAGCGAATATGTAGACTCCAAAGTCAAAATTCATGGTCCGATATATATTCATGTACCACATCTGAGAGGAAATTAGTTTAAACTAAACTGTTTAATACAAGTAGGTTTTTAGTATATCTTTCGTAATCATGAAAATCTATTCAGATACACGTGGCTTGCAATAAAAAAACATGCTCGATCATGTGCCTACGAAAGTTTAGTAAATAGTCAACTGTCTTTCTTTTTCTTATTTTAATCATCTCGAGGAAAGTGTAAACTTAATAAAATGATCATATTAGCGAAGATATCGCCTGCTTGACCATAAATTAAGCAGTAAATGGAAGAAACAATATATATGAGTCTCACACTATGATCGCAGTCCAAGCTTTATGTGATTTAGGACATAAAAATCGAAGAGCAACAACACTGTAAATTCTAATATTTAATATTAATATTATAATGATCTTTTTAAAAATAAAAAATAAACAATCATAAGAAATGACTGTGTAAAGAGTTGTTTTTTTTTTTGTTTTTGAATTTTTTTAAAATAGTTTCTCTTCTTATTTTTTTATTTAATCTGAATAATGTAAAATTCTGGTAGATATTATATGTGAGATTTTTAGAACTCAGGCCTTGTGCGTGATGATGAACACGCCTTTAAAGGTAAGAGATGATCTAAAGTTAACAATAAAACCAGATTGAGAGAATGAATAACCAGATTAGAGATTAGAGAACCAGTTTCAAGATTTAGTAACAAGATTGGTGAAGAAGAAAGGAGGGAAAACCCGCTTTCAGCTTAAAGTTTACAATCGCATACAAGAGGCTTTTATATGCATTTACATGAACCAAGTCATAAACCTATATCCTAAAGACATAAATAGAAGATAGATTGGATGGCTAGGAAGAGAGAAGACTGGTCTTTGATATTCTGGTGCTAGTTGGCAAGGAGAAGCCTGCATGATTTGAGTGGAGGGGAGAGATCAGCATCAATTTGAATCAAGGGCCAAGATGATCCGTGTGGAGATAAGGTTGGAAAGGTAAATGCACTTTTATTTCCAGTATATCCCTTTAGTCTGTCCAGCTGATAAGATAAACTTCTTATCTCCTTGAATGCCTAATGGTCATATAAGATCATAAAAGGATCACCATATTCATGCATAATTTGTCGTAAGGTAACCGGATGCATGTGCGACCTTTTGGTGTTGTACAGCCTGGCTGGTCCGTACACTTCCCTAAATAAGCACATCACCCATTCTTCTTCTTAAGTCGATCCATACTTCTTCTTGGCTCACCCACGTCCGTACAAGGCGTATCATCCGTACTGGTCCGTACGGACACCTAATTTTTCACCCTTGATCATCTTCTCCCAAAATCTTCCAAGACCATCCCAAGACAAATCTGAGTCCCTCCTGGACTTAACTTCCCAATATAGACACTTTGGAACACTCCTGAAACGTGATAGAACTCTTCTGGAGCTTGCGCTATTTAAGTACATGCTCCATATTCTCTTCAGTTCAACACTCCCCCTCAAGCTTGACTCTAAAGACCTTAAGTCAAGCTTAGGACCTTGAAGGGCTCCGTCATTAAAAACTTTACACAGAAAACCCTCCTTAGGAAAAAACCGTGCAAGGAAAATAGTAGAGTCGTCACGGCCTAGGTATTGACCATTGAGTTCTTGTGTCTAAAACCAGTGTGGTTGGACACAAGTAACTCAAGATCATGGCCTAAATAGGTATGACAAGAATGAATCAGCATAACTTGATATCTTTGAACACAAGCACACGGCTGGAATCTTCATAGGAACTGGTTTGAGGTCTCCCCTTCTCAACTGACTTCAATGCCACCTTAAGAAGACACAGAAACGACCATATATCTTCTTTTGGATCACCAGAAATGTTACTTGCACTTTAGAAACTGGCTCGGTGATAAGGCTTTTTAAGCCTTAGAGCAAATAAATGTAGTAAGGTAAGTAGAGTGTCAATCCAATCCTGAGAGCTATTGAACAAAGAGAATGCAAGACATTGCTTAATCTAAATGCAAGACATTGCTTAATCTAAATGCAATCAATGAGTGAGATGATATTGAACTAGAATACTACTAAAATGTAATAAAGGGATGATCTTTCTTTCTCAAAATGAAGCAAGAGGACTCATGGGATTAGAAATTTGATCTTGGGTGATGTAGATCCAATCTAAAGATGGCAAGCTAGCAATCATACACTTTCCTTATGCCTAGACACAATCCTAAACAAGCTCTATCTCTAGATGAATGTTCTTTTACTAAAGCAACTCAAACATCTAATCTCTTAGGTTGAATATTACTAAAGCAAACATGGAGAACAAGTCTAATGGCAATCGTAACTTCTTTAGCAACTAATCTCTTAGGTAAAGCAAGTTAAAAGAATTGAAGAGTTGGTTCAGGCATTTCATCATACACCTTGTGCGCAGGAAATGCCTAGAGATCCATTTTAGTATGATCAAGACTAAAATGGCATTAAGAACCCTCAACAAGCAAGAAAACAATTAAATATAACTTAAACATCCTAGATCTTCTCTAATCACCCTTAATCACTCTAGCCCATGAATCCCAAAGGAGTCTACTCCCTAATCTTCTTGATTAACCTTAATCCCATGGTTGATTTAAGAGAAATCATGTTGAAAAGCAAGTTTAATCAAACAATCACAAGGAAATAAGAAGAAAAGAAACTAAAGATTCAATCTTTCTTCAAGGTTTCAATGTGTTCTTAGACAGAAAAGAAGATAATCCTAAAGATTAGGTCTAGATTGTATTTATAGTAGCTTAAAACTTAAACCGGGTCAACTCGACAAACCCGGGTTTGACCCAAATAACTAATGGAAACTTGATGTCGTGCAGGACGCAGACTGGCCTTTACCCGCGGGACGTGGCCGCGCGCGAAGGTTGAAGGTCACGGGATGGAAAACGCGGCTTGGTTCAGGCCGCGTGTAGAGGCTCGTGGTGAGGCGCGGCAGCTTCTTTCGCGCGTGACATGTCCGCGTATGGAGGGTTGAAAATGAGCTTCTCGGACGGAATACGCGGCCTGGTACTGGCCGCGTTACATGGCCGCGTGGACGAGGCGCGGGCTGGCTCTCCCCCGCGTGACTGGCCCGCGTGTGTAGGTCGAGATTGCTGGCTCTCGGGACGAAATGCGCGGCTGGTCTTCGCCCGCGTTACCTGGCCGCGTGGAGTGGCTCAACACTTGGTGAGTTTTATCTTTTTTTCTTGACTAAACCCTCTAATCTCCAACCTAAGCTTTTCCAT